GTATATATATATTAAACAAAGCTTTTAAACAAATAACAACTGTCCTATGCATTTCTATGCTCTATAAAGCTTTAATCTAATATATCAAATATCAAATATAAATAATACGTATGTACAATTTTAGCTTTGTTTCTAAGCTGATATTTTATATTTATTTACACGATTTAATTACCTTCCATGTTGGATTCATCTTCGTCAGCTTCTTCCTTTGAAATTGTTGTTTCTTTATCTTCTTCTTCTTCTTCTTCTCCCTCTTCTTCTTCTTCTTCTTTTTTTTCTTCATCATTTTCCTCGTATTTATTCACTTCTTCACTACCTAAACCTTCATCTTCATTATCATCTTCATTTTCTTTAACAGTTTCTTCCCCTTCACCCTCTTCTTCCTCTTCACCCTCTTCCTCCACTTCACCCTCTTCTTCTTCTTCTTCTTCTTCAGCTGATTTTGTTGTCACATCAGCTGTTTCTTCTTCTTCCTCCTCTTCTTCTTCTTCTTCTTCTTCCGTTCTTTCTTCCTCTTCCTCTTCCTCTTCCTCTTCTTCTTCCTCTTTTTCTTCTTCTTCTTCTTCTTCCTCACTACCTTCTACTTCTTTTTCATCATAGGATTCATCCCCATGACTTGGAAGAGTATCATCAACCCATCCATCAAATATACTAGCCCACCTTGATTCAGCTACTGGTGTATCAACTACAATTATTATTATTATTATTATTGTTATTATTTAATCTGTGTGTACTTAATTAATTATATTTAATTTTTATTTATTATAGCTTACCATCTGTAGTTCCTCTATGCTCAAAAATAATAACTCCGGTTAAAGCAATTAATACAGCAAGTAATATGAAAAATATAATACGTGCGCACCAATGGCCACCCGTACTACTTTCTTTATAAATGTGTATGCTAACGTTGTCTATAACACTTTCAGGTGTATTCGTCAACGTTGGTGGAGGTGTACCCGATTCTTCCTCATCTAAATGAATAAGAAATTAAATAAAATAATAATGTTGTCAGGAAATTTTGTTTTTATATATATATTATATTGGGTAGGTTGAAAAGTTTTGAGCTTAGATAAAAAAGAATTCTTTTTTTTTAAACCCAAATTTTGTTTAATCAAAAAACAATTGTTTTCTATGTTAAATTCGAAACTTTTCATATATATTAATTATGTTGTTTAATATTATTTATTATTACATCAGTTACGCGTGTAAGCGTATTAATGGCCGAACGCAGTTGTTTTTCTCGCGAACTTTATTTTATTTATTATTTAAATAAAAATTAAGAAAATAATTATTGAAAATAATTAAAAAAAAAAAAAAAATGATAAATAATTTGATGAAGAAATGCTTTTAGATTGGATAATACAAGTAAATCTATTTTTGAAAGCCAAAAGCCAGGCTGGCAGAGTATCTAAAACCCACATTTTCTAACTTAGGTGACACTGCCAAACCGCGGCTGGATTTATGTAAATTTCATATACATGTTGATTTTACGTTAAACTACACAATGCTGCTCTTTCTCGAATAAAAGATCCCCGATAGACGACGTATTTTAACGCGTAATATTAATACGAAATTGTTTACACGCGTACGTTCAATTTAATTAGACATTTAATATTCATAATATGAATTATATATTTGATGAATTTAATTTCTATTAAAACTTAATTACACGCGTAATTTTTGTTAATACGATCCTATAGATATTTGTCATGTTTAATATTATATAACTCGTGTACCTCGTACTATAAATATATTTATGTTATCCATACATTATATGAATTCGATAAAACATTTTATATAATTTTGATCCAATTAATATTTATTTAGATTTTTATTTCTTTTTTTTTTTTTAATTTGTATATACACGCGATTAAATATGTAATATTTTTTCGAGCGCCATTTTGATATTTATCGAAGAAATTGATATGTAAAATTATTTATATATAACATATATATATATAGATAATTTGTGTTTAACAATAAGTTTATAAAAATTTGTTAATACGATTACTAAACATTTTAATACATTTTTTTTTTGTTTTTCTTTTTTTTCTCGTAAGTATTGCAAAGAATAAAAATATTTCGTGCATACAAATTGATCGTAAAATTTGATCATCGATGATAAAATAAGGATTAATAGAATTTAAATACATAAGTATGGATAGAGTTCGAAAGGTGTATTATTTTTCGTAGAGTGTCTAACTATAAAAAGAAAAATACAAAAAAAAAAGGAAAGTTAAACGACGAGAAAGAAATTTTTATTAAAATATCAATAAATTGTATTCTTTTGGAAAACAAAGGGCCGCGCGTTAATAAAACAGCAATACGCATTTTCCAAAGACAAAAATAAAAAAAAAAGGCGAGAAAGAGGGAGAGAGAAAGAGAGCGTTGTGCTAAAAATAATCTTTCATCTTTAAGTATCCAAGTTACGAAAGTCTATCAAATACTAATTCTTTAATAGTATAGATTTTACCTTTCTTGCGTCTCCTATCTTTTCGCTTTCTTGGTTGTACGTCACCCGACATTATTTTATTTTCAAATTTTTCACGTTGTTGGATGATAAATGATTGAAATTTAAAGTTTTTTGAATGTCGAACACTCGCGGCACCACATTCACTTACATTAGATTTACGAAAACGTATCCTACGGTAGGACAGTTCTACCAAAACAAGAAAATCCGCTAGGTTCGACGAATTAAATGAGTCACTAATTCGAATCGCGCGCCAATATCGATTGGCGCGTAATTTTGAACGATTCAAATTTCGAATCGAATAAAAAAAGAAAGAGAAAGGATAAGAGTAATGAATTTCATCAGAGGACATATTCGTTTATTGCAGTAAACGTATGTACAATATTAATAAAAATACACGCAGAAGGTGTATTATATATTATTACAGAGCACACCCCGTAATCCTCGATTGAAAATAAATAATTCATGAAATATAATCCTCTGTAGAGATTTAAGAAACGTATTTTTTTTTTTGTAGGTCCTCGAGAAATTTAAGGCACAGTCTATACTAAGAACTTCTGCAAGATAACAATAGTTACTTGGTGAACACAACGAAAGAGTATACAAAAGTGTTATTAAATTACTAATACAATAAAATTAATATAAATAATACCGCTGATAAGTAGAATTACCATGTTCATCTGCATCGACAAAATTCCAACAAAAATATCTAATATACAATATATGTATGTATGCATGTATGTATGTATATACATATATACATATATATATTCAATGCAGTCACATAATATCCTCTTAATAAATTCCCATTACTACTACTATTATTATTATTATTATTATTATTATTATTATTTATCAATTGATCATTAAGTGATCTTATATATTATTTCATACGACAAAGAAAATCATTACGAATATATTTTCTTTGTCATTTACAATTAAAAGAAGAAAAAATAAAGACCCAAATCTACGTGTACGCGTGTATGTTTAACAAATTTTCGGATCGTTCGCATTATAATCATCGATTAACAATAAAATTCGATTTTTTTGTTACTTCAAATCGCAATACAAAGATATAAACGACGATATAGACGAAAACTTATGTTAGTTTTGAGAAATAACAAAAAGAATTTACAATTACAATACGAAGAGATTTCAATTGATTATTCGTTTGAAAATAAGCTTATTAATTATTGATCAATTTTTTTTATTCGGAAGATTCTTGCAGTTTAAAAGTCATGAAAATAGATATATATATATAGAGAGAGAGAAAGAGAGAGAGAGAAAGAGAAAGAGAAAGATAATTCGATCCTTTGTATTAAAAATTAATATTTTGTTTGCAAAAAATTTTACGCGTTTCTTTTTTATTTATCTATGATTTTATGCCTCTATATCTAATAATTTACTTATTTATTTATTTATATATTTATTTATACATTGTTAGTGTCGATGATTATCTTTATTGGACAATAAGCCAAACGCTATTATTATAATAATCCTATGCAGTTGAAGGCCTTGTATGGATATGTCAAGTTTTCTCAAAACTACATTTTCAATATAAATTTGTAGTTGTGAAATAATTAAATAATAACATTGTTGTCCAATATATATATATATATATATATATAAACACTTTGATTAATCTATAAATACTTACTAACAATTATGTATCTTAAAAATTTATCATTAATACTAATTCTAAACGATAAACGAATTTTTAATAAAGTCAAATTC